GTCAACGCACAGATTACGTAATATAACTGTGCGTACATACCGTTTCAACCATTCTGGCCTGATAAGAAATTACGGGAACGCCACTGCTGACGGTTCGCTACCATATCCTTTAGTGTCTCTCGAACCAACCGAATGCAGAGCATTTCGGACCCCAAGATGGAATACCGGAGACACCTACTATACCTAATGGCTCTAAGCGTTTCTTCATACCTTGTCTCCACGCGGACAGGCAGAGGACAACTAGGCATACGCAATAAGTGCGCTGGCCTGCGAAACCTACTAATATGAATTCGATGAGCTAGCAAGTTTATTCGTGATACACTCCCGTACACGCGACGGTTTCCCAATTGTTGGAGTTGTCCTAACCACAACAGCTCGCCTACCAAATCTGTTGATACACAGTTCCAATAGAGCCATTTATAAATATCATCTTTTAATAACAACCAACGAAATATCCTGAATCCTTAATTTTAAGGATTTTCAGGCCAGTGAAGAGCACTGAAAGAGCTTTCATTTCCCACGATGATACTTCATCATCATCGTCGCCATCATCGTCATCATCATCGTCATCATCATCATCATCATCACTGACCTATGCACGCAAGTAGTAGTCAAATTAACAAGTTTACGGGCTAACTGGTAATGTTCTTTCTGGATTCTACACAGTGCTTGTCAGAACTACCTTTACTGCTTTTACTAATGAAGAGAGACTGGGTTCTTTTCCTAACTGCAGCAGGTAGGGTCAATCTGTGGTCTGGATAATTACAGCATAATTGAGCTGCATAATTGTGGTCAATTTTCATTGATTAATTCCACATGTCGTTTCTTCTTTGTTTAAAAGTATAGGCTGGAAAGCAAGAAGCAGGCCATTGATCCTGTGCGTTTGCGTGAAAAGTTGACGAAAAATTGAAGAACAATACTGATTGGCTACTTAAAATCGGTTTGATAATGAGTTGCCAACGGGCTATATTTTTATACATGCTAGTCGGTTATTGAGTTGGTTAGTTTACATACGTTAATTTACTTTTCATCCTTGAACACCTTTGAGAATGTAGGGAAATTAATTGGACAACAGATGGTCTATTGTTGCCTAATTGTTTTTTTCTTCAAATTATTGGCATGGTCGGAGGTGGTTGTCTAGGGTTTCGGCAGTTCACCCTTCTCTTTCACCTGCAAAATGCTCCCATACGGCCAAGCGTCTCGAATAGTCTCTGCTGAGAAAGCCCTACTCACTGCCTTCTCGTGGCGGAGGTGTTTTTCCACCAAAGTGATGGAACGAAAAGCCGACATCCGGGGCTGTAACCGGGTTGGTGGACCACTGATAGTT